TGTATGTGTACATGGATATTTTTTCTGAATTGCTTGAGACTAAGTGGCAGGCATGTTGCCCTTTTACAGGACTTCAGGGCATAGATCTTAAAATCAAGGTCATTCTCATCTGTAATCAAAGTCATGTGTTATTTTAAATTTCACAAACAATTGTGTGCTTGAGGGCAGTCAAAGGATACATAGAGTGGAAGTGTAGCTTTGTAAAACTATTTTAGGAGCTGAACGGAATTGCACTCTGTGTAATGGGTAAGAAATCAATACAGAAAATCATTTGGTTTTAGCCTAAGATCTGTGGTATAGCAAAATTGCCTAAGACATACCAGGAAAAGTATTCTGGTGGTGCATTTGTACCTGGGAATCGAGTCTTCTTGCCTGGAACATTTAGCCCAAGAGAGGTGAAAAGTGCACCCACTGCAGACACAGAGGTGGGTAGGTGGGGGACTTCCTCTCCCAGAAATCCCGCCCCCCCCACACTGACTTTCTGCCCTTGACAAAGAAAGCTCTGAGGATGACTGTGTTACTTCAACAACCCAGTACTGAAATAGCAGTCTATAAGTTAAGATACCACACACACACACCCATATTCTTCTTTAACAGATTTTAATCTTAACATTATTGGGCTAATACGAAATAGATTTCCTTTCCTAAACACTTGTCCTTCAGGTTGTTTTTCAATAACATCCTCCTGATTAGGCAAGGCTTAAAGGAATGGAGTTGACTGGCTGTAATTAGCTTAAAGGAATGGAAGGAATGTGTTTAAAAAACTTAATTAAGCCACTGTCAATCTAGAGTTTAAGGGATAATCATTGTTTCTCATATTGTCTAGCATTTATATACTAAATAATGTGTATAAGCTGTTTCTGCTTTTACTGTAGTTACTCTTAGTGAATCAAGAAAGGGCTATGGCGTATAAGTCTCAGGCTTTGTCAATTTAAGCCAAGAGGGAATTAAGATATACATTTTTAGACAGATAATGTGATTGTGATAAATTTTTGAAAACCCGATTGTTGAAAATTTCTTATGACTAGTTGGGTTTTCTTCCAGTATTAAAATATATCACATCATTTTACAATAAGATTTATGATGCCTTGTGCAAAATCTTTGCATTGTTTCAAGATTTCTTTTAAGCAGGAGCTTAAGAATTTGTTTATATAAACATTTAAATGAGGACTTGTAGACATCTTTTTTAGTTCATATCTATTAAAGGACTTCAAGTTTGTGAAAAATTGGAATTAAAAGATAATAGAATTTTTCCACATACTTTTTGAAGACCCCTCCTAGATGCAAATAGTGCTTTACAAAGTTGATATTTGGACTTTTGGCAAGGGGCTTTCCATAATGGAATTTCAGATGCTGCTAGGCAACACATTCTGAAATCTGTAACTTCTTGTTTTCTGGTTAAAAAAGTAAAGCAAGGAAATTTTCAGAGCTTTTCCCAGGTATCTAGTTTCCACATTGCTTCTTTTCTTAGAGATGAATATATTTTGACAGGATCATGCTATAGCACTGTAACTTATATATGATTACCTAAGAAATAATTTGTCATTTGATTTTTTTAAAAAGTCCTTCAGCCTAGTCCTAAAACGCTTGGTATATGTAAATCCCACTTTCCCGAGGTTTTCATCGATGGGAATTTGGGCTTAGGAGTGTAGCCGGACGCACTGCTGCTCTGAGAATTATTTTGAGTGGCCAAAGGTGTCACGTGCGTTCTTCAGTCTTCTTGTGGAAGCCCAGTTTGGTACTACATACGTTTCCTTGTGTAAGTGACCTTCGTAATTTTAAATAATATTTTAAGTGTCTTTTCCTGTGGATATTTTTCACTGCTGCTTTGTATCCTGATTACATTAAGGTAACATCCTGTGTGAAATTCAAGTGTTTGGTGTGCAAGAGTAAAGAGCACATCTCGGAGTGCTGCTCCAGGTCTGGGGCCGTCTTCAGGAACGGTATGAACTCCCAGCTGCACTGAGCTGATTGTGACGACGGGTGACCCCAGGTGTACAGAGTAGAACTGCATCCGTGGGGCTTTCAACCTGGGACCTTTCAGTAGCCGACTGCCAGGTCTTTCTCCCTGGTGGTGTTTTCTGTGTTTGGATTTTAACTGCCAACCTTTTTGTTGGTAGTTAACATTTAACAGTTTGTGCCACCCAAAGATTCCTAAAAGGACAATATATATCCTTGGGGAAATTGAGGCTGCAGATCAGCAGTTCTCAACCTGTGAGTTGCGACCCCTTTGTGGGGGGGTGGGGGCGAACGACCCTTTCACAGGGGTCACCCACTTCATAATTACAGTTAGGAAGTAGCAACGAAAATAATTTTCTGGTTTTTGGGTCACCACAACATGAGGAACTGTATTAAAGGGTCGAGGCATTAGGAAGGTTGAAAACCACTGCTATAGACACAGATCATTATTCATATATATATAAATTGAGAGAAAACACATTACATTAGGCTAAGAACAGTTTGTCTTAAACAAGTTGTCTGAAAAAAGAGCATTTGTTTCCTGGGTGGGACAGAGGAGGGGAGGCACTGAAGTAAATCAGTCAGTAAATAAGTCAGGCAAGTTTCAAGTATTTCCATTTGGGTTCATTTAATTGAGCCAAAAGCTTACACGAAGTCCATGGGCCCACCCCTCCCCCAGCCAGTGGAGCCAATGGCTTCCCCAACAAGGCACAAGAGTGGCAGCTTCCAGAGGCATCTCAAGGCTTGGTGGGCCAGGATATGCTCCATGTTCTCACCCCCCTTCATTTGCTTCTGTGTGCTCTGATCAGACGTGTCCCTCTCCCCGAGCTGTAGCTTCAGTGCTGTCCTCTGAAGTAAATTCTTCTGGGGGGAGAGGTTCTTTCTTAGTCTGGAAACTCCACTGAAACTTTTCTACTATGACTGACCCTGCTGGTATTTGAAACGCCAATGGCATGATTTCCAACATCTTACCAACTCACAAGCCACCCTGATAAGACAAACTGACAGACACAAGATGGGGCATTATAATTAGCAACTGTGAGTCTTGCTTTCAGGTTTTACTTAGTGCCATAATAAAGTGTTTCTAAGAGCTTTATAGAAGTTAATCATTGTTAATACTATTGATGGTTTAAATGTTCATTTTATTAGGTAGGTTATATAGGATCTGAAGCCATAGAATGCCCAGACTGGATGGAAGTCTAGCTTTTCCATTTATCTGTGTGAGACGGGACAAATAAATCCCGTGTTCTCTGCCATCAGCATCTCAGATGGGTGGCCTGGTGTGGTGTCTCTCTTGAGGTGGATGTCAAGATGTCAGCAGGAACTGTGCTCATCGGAAGACTTGATGCAGGACTGGGAGATTCATTTTCAAGATAGCTCATTGGTGCATCATGGTTGTTGGGAAGGGGGCTCATTGTCTCCCAGGTAAACCTTTGCACTCAGTTATGTAAGTAATGGTCCTTGTGACATGGAAACTGGATTTCTTCAAAAGAGTCCCCATTGACTCAGTGGTGGCGAGTTTGGTTTTTGGAGTCGGGTGGGGCCGCAGAGCCCACCTTTATGACAGTGTTTTTGGAGATGCCAGTGCTGCTGCACTGGTGTCCACACTTCGATTAGTGAGGCTTGAAACTTCATCACCCGTCGTACTTTTTATATTTGGGATTTTTACCTTATGTTAGTTTCCTTAATAAATGGATTTGGGGTGAAGCAATATCAATGTTTTAAGACTGTATTGTTTTCCAAAATGATTTGTTGTTTTAATTATACTATCCACATCTTGGTTCTGAAAGCAAAGCTCACGTTCTTCACTGTAATGCAGTCCACCATCTATCTCATTTGGTTCTCCCAGTCAACCGTGCAGCTGGGGTGATCGTTCTGAGTGTGCTGGAGAGACTGAGTCCCTTATTTAGGGACACACAACCTGAAGAGTTAGTCTTAATGCATCCCCAACCCCAACCCCAACCCTGTGATTCCTCTGAAAGCCTTATGGAAGACTAATGATAGTTGTCTTTAATGAATCCAGACATAAGACTAAGTATTTTCCTATAAAACTTAAAATTCTGAGTTAGATGGTGCTGCCTACAGATCAGGAAACACACTGCCTTGGCCACTTACCTAGCAGGTGGCAGACCCACTTGAAATTACTTAAGTGAATGAGAGTGTCCGTTTCATCATGATAGAATTTTAAATTGGTTAATAGATGAAATTAAAAGATTGCTTAAGTTAGGACAGCCCCCCCCCCCTCTTTTTTTTCCAGCCACCAGCTTCCTTTGTCGCTGCCAGTTGGCCACACCTGAAACGTGTAGATTTTCAGTAGCAACACCCTTTCCAACCTCTGATACTCTCCCTCCCTCCTGTTCTTCAGCCAAGCCACTTCTGTAGCTAGAGAGCTTGACTTCTCCAGATCGCCCTGACTCCTCCAGCCCACAGTGGAGGCAGAGAGCGGTCCTCTTGGGTTGCACAGGCTGTCTGGATATAAGATGTTGCTGTTTCCACTATTATGGGTGTTTCCTAATCTGCCCCCATCAGTATTACAGTTTGTAGATACATGGCTTGCTTTCAGAGAATTGCTGTGCTGATGACTTGCTCCTGGAGTGCCACACCTCTATGATTTATGTGGATAATAAATCAGTAACCAAGTGTTGCAGGAGTTCCCGCCCTAGTGTATCACAACCGAACTCATTACCATCGAGTTGACTCCAACTCACAGTGATATCTTACAGGGTTTCCCAGACTGTAAGTCTTTACATGACCAGGTCTCCAAGGTGGTAAGTTTGAACCGCTGACCTTGCTAACTAGCTAGTTAACTTGCTAACTAGCAGTTCAACACTTAACCTACAGTGCCTTCAGGGCTCATTAATTTGGGCCATCTGTCAGATTTGAGACTTCTTTTTCCTGCAATCTGAAAGGACTGCGTGTCTTGGCTAGTTGGGATGCTGTGTTGGGTATGGACTTATAAACTTTGTTGGGTCTGCTTATTAGGTACTTGTATTTAAAAGTCTTGTTTTGAACCTAAAGGCTGTGACTTTTCTATTTTGCAGACTATGTCTTCAGCAGTGGTGCAGTTATATGCAGCAGATCGGAATTGTATGTGGTCAAAGAAGTGTAGTGGTGTTGCTTGCCTCGTTAAGGACAATCCTCAGAGATCTTATTTTTTAAGAATATTTGACATCAAGGTGAGTGGTTTTACTCTCACTTCACAGTTTAGATGATTGTTTTGTACCTCAATGATGATGCATCTTTTAAATGAAAAATTTTTCTTTTAAAATTATTATTTTTAAGATTTTTATCATACTTACGACTATTATTCTCACTGCCACTGAGTCGATTCCAACTTAAATGATCCTATAGGACAGAGTAGAACTGCCCCTGTAGGTTTACAAGAGTAGAAAGCTTCATCTGATTTCAAATTGCTGACCTTGAGATTAGCAGCCCAATGTATAACCCACTTGGTTTTAGATATAAAGTGTGGATCTTGTAAACAAATGAGAAGATGCCATTAGCCAAGTCAGACACCACTCCATACTCTGTTAATTTACTGCCATCTAGCAGTAGTTTTACCTTCTTTTGTTTTCTTAATTATGTATGTCTTTGGTTCATGAAGGATCCACAGTGGTTCTTTGGGTGCTAGTTTGTTTAATTGCAAGGTCAATGGTTTCAACTTAATAGCTTCTCAGGAGAAAGATGACACTGTAGGATCCCATAAGTGGTTTGTGCTCTTGGAAACCCTAAGTCAGTTCTACTCTGTCCTGTGTGGTTGCTGTGCGTCTGAGTCAACTCGTTGGGCATGGTGGGTGGGTGGTTTTGGCTTCTGAGCTTTCCCACCCTCTCTTATTTTCTGGTAATGTAATCCTGTTCGTTACAGACTAGTATACTGTACACACTTCTTTCAGGGAACAAGGAGCCCTGGAGGCGTAGTGGTTACACAGTGAGCTGCTAAGGCCAAAGTCAGCCGTCTGAAACCACTAGTCTCTCTGAAGGCTTTCTACTCCCTTAAAAAAGATATAATCTTGAAAACCCACCGGGGCAGTTCCACCCTTCCTGTGGAGTTGTTATGAGTCAGAATTGACTCGATGGCAGTATGAGTTTGGAGTTGAGGTTAGGGAACTGCAAGAGTATATTTCAATTTGGTCTGTGGTATTATCATTTACTTCAGTTCAGGTTTAAAGTTTTATACGGTACCTATGCTGATGTGTTTGCTACTCACATTTCTTTATGTTGTTTCTCAAGAAGGCACATTTAAGTTGTTTAAGTTCTGTATCCATCATTCTGAATTATAAAGCCCCCTTGTCCTAGCGTGTCTGCCTTTTCAGGGATCCATCTCTTAACAGTTACCGCAAATATAACTATCATTTGCCAAGGTGAAGTCTCCGTACTTTCTTTTAAAACTTTGCTCATAAGTAACCCTCCATGGTTAATAATTAAAATGTGGCAATATGATTCACACAAACTCCCATGAGTGGCTTTAAAAGCATGAGTCTGAGTTACTCTCTAACCATAGTCAAGTTTCCTTCTACATCTCTCGGCTTCCATTCCTTTGTAAAATAGACATAACTTTGTGGGCCTGTTGAAAAGTATTTCACTAAGATTAAGTAAGACTTAACTATGTAAATTAGTGCTTGTTAACATTCACTACCTCCAAGACAGCTGAGAGTTGTCACACGGTCCTGTTCCCAGCAGTGGCTTAGTGCTGCAGTGATTCTAGCTGATGGGTAAGGGAGCACATGCATAATTAAAGAAACCCCTGAGCGCACTGTTTAGAAACGGAATTCCTTTATATAGCTCCATTGAGAAGAAAAGATTTGGGGTACAGTGGTTACAATATCATTGTGCATTTTGAAAGTATGGTCTAGATAGAAGAGTGCACTTCAGAATAGGGCCCTAATCATGTTTCTCTAGTCCCTCATTTCTAAGTGTGGGAAACTATTGTGCAACACACTGTTATCAACCACCTCAGATGTTAAGGTTAAATCTATTTCTTACACCCAGTGGTAAATATGGCAGTCATCTACACCTCTCTTAATCATGGTTTAACCATGGTGGGCTTTAAGACTCAATGCCTTTTTGAGGTCTGATTAATTCTACTAATACCAATGTTTAGGAGGTGGCCGTGCAGAAGTTAGGAATTCAAAGATTGCTAATGAGAATTAGAATATGATTCCCTCAGCATCTACAGGATCTAAGAAAAGAGCATGGAAAATTCCTGTAATAATTGACAAATGGAAAACTAGAACCCATTGCCAACAAGTCTATTCTAAATCATAGCAACCCTGTAAGACAAAATACAATTGCCCTACAGAGTTTCCAAAGTGTAACCAGTGTAAATATTACCGATGGTACTATCAGTGGTATTTGGCACATAGAAATGTTTTCCTCTCCTATATAATATTGATGGTCTAATAATTCCTCTAGTTTATGACTTTAGCTAAATATTTTTGTGAATGCCTTATTAATGTAATGAATTAAACTCAACATGATATATGTAGGTTTTAAGGCATTTAAAAAATGTCTTATCTATTTTTTATTTCTTAGTAATTCCTCCATGATAAGGTATTACTGATAAAACGATGTGATATATTACTTATACATATGGCATATTTTCTTTGTTGTTGATCGGTGCCATTGAGTCAGTTCCCACTCGGGTGCCATGCCCGCAGTTGTTCTTAATTTTGAGCCCATTGTTGTAGCCACATGTCAGTCTGTCTTGCAAGGGGCTTCATTTTTGGCACCGCTCCTCGGTTTTACCAAGCGTGATGTTCTTCTCCAGGGACTGTCTCCTGACAGCATGTCCAGGACACATGACATGAAGTCTCACCAGCCTACATATGGCTTATATGTACATAAAAGCTATTGTTAATATTAAAAAAAACCTGTAGTATGTCATCATTGACTTTCCTTCATTCCTAGCTACTACCTTAAAAAATTTTTTTTCTTTCTTTCTTTTTTATTTCTATTTTTTCCAGGATGGGAAACTATTGTGGGAGCAAGAGCTATATAATAACTTTGTATATAATAGTCCTAGAGGATATTTTCATACCTTTGCTGGAGATGTAAGTCATATTTTTTCTGTATTGCTCTATGTAATGTATTGTTTTATAGTTGCCTGAAAGGCATTTGTGTTTCTTTTATAAATATAAAATATAAAGAATTATTTTAATTTTAAAAGCTTCCTCAGAGATGTTATGGCTAAAGAGGAAGAAAATCCTCAGATGTAAGAGCCAAAGAAATGGCGGTAGGAGGTTAAAAAAATACTGTAAATATAATGTAGTGGTGGAGGAGAGTTTTGTTTTGTTTTTCCCTTTCCTCTCTCTTTGTCGTGGGACGCTCAGGAATAAATTTCTCTAGGTCTTAGTTTTGTTACCTATACAATGAGTCTTTAAGTGGCTGCTAATTTATAGTAATTTTAAAATGTTGAATCTCGTATGGCCAGTTATCTTATCCTGTGGAGGAATAATTCATGACCTAGAAGAGGGTAGGATCCAGTAAATGAGGAGGGAGGAATTTAAAAATATTAATTGTATCTGCTTGGGGAAAATGTTGGAAGGATTTTTATACAGAGTGCTCACAGGAATTGAGTGACTGATTCATGGGTGCATTTAAGTTACTTCCTTTGCATGCTTGTCTTTCCTAAAGTTTATACATTCAGAAGAAAAAGTTGGATTAGGTGTTGTATCCGTCTCTTCAGAAAGCATTTTCTTCTTCAACATCTTTTTTGGGAGAACATAAAAATAGACATAAGTTCTCATTCAGTGCCATGATAATGCCAGCATGTGTTTGTAAGTAAGGTTATAATTTAAATACGTGTGATTGGACTGTAAAATAAAGACACGGGTTCATAGAGTTGGCCTGTTTGTTTTCAGACCCTTATTAAAAGTTCCTCGAGTCATAAAATAATAAATTGTCTGCTCGTAGCACCAGCCTTTCTTTCTGCTGGCCATGTTTTTCTTTTTGCTTTATATAGCTAAATTTGTGCATTTTGTTTATTCTTTTGATGAAAAAATTTCAGACTTGTCAAGTTGCTCTTAATTTTGCCAATGAGGAAGAAGCAAAAAAATTCCGAACAGCAGTTATAGACTTACTGGGCCGGCGACAAAGGAAATCTGGTAATTTATTTCTAATTTCTTAAAAACCAAGGCAAACAACAGGTGCAGTCTAAATATGGCCTGCTGCCTGTTTATGCAAATTAAATTTTATTGAAACACTGCTATGTTCATTCATTTGCATATTGTCGGTGACTGCTTTTATGTAAACTGCAGGGCTAAGTATTTGGGACAGAGACAAGAGGGCGTCCTACAAAGCCCCAAATATAAATTATTGGCAATTCACAGAAAAGATTTGCTGAGAAATAATTTCTCTAGATTTATTGCAGGACCCATTTTAATAACTTGGTTGATAAAATTTTACATCATCTAGCTTTTAAATTTGTATTTCTGTAGCATTGTTCATAGCTTAAAAACCAATTTTAGTTATTTTATACTTTATGAACAAAGACTAGGCATGCGTAGAAGCAGAGTTGCAAACAGGAGCCGTCAATAGTCTCATCTCTATTTTGTCTTAGTGCTATATAAATTATAAGACATAAAGAACTTGTATATCAATGAGCCTTGGTGGGGAGGTGTCCCACTAGATTTACTAGTATGGAAGTTTTGCGTAGCAGTGTGCCTGACCTTTTTCTTACTTTGTGGAGGAAGGGGTATTAGAATAAGTATTAGAAAGGAGAGCATATGGGCATTAGGTCAGCAAATAGGTCCCCTTAAAACTCGCCATGTCTCATGCTTCTTGGAGCCAGTCTTTCTGTACTTCCAGTGGCCCATGTAACCCAGTTTGAAGGTCACTGTCTCAAGGGTATAAGCTGAGAAGAGGAAAGACATTGGCTTGAAACGGCTCTAAAGAAGCGTGTAGTCTCCATCTTTCTGTGAGTCAGTTCAGTAAGGGGAACGAACAGAGGTAAAAGCAAAACATAAAATGAACTGAGTGGTCCCTTCACTTTCACCATCTTAATATATTAATATTCCCAAAAAGTAGTGATGAAGCTTAGTTTAGACATACTGTATATCCCAATTAAAATACTTAGTATTTTCCTACATTTCTATACACCAACGGAAGCCTAGTGGTGTGATGCCGTAAGCATTGGGCTGCAGCTGACCCACATACAGATTGGTGGGTTCCAGCCCACCAGCTGTTCCTCAGGAGAAAGATAGGGCTGTCTGTTCCCTTAAAGATTTACAGCCTGAGAAGGCCTGGGGAGTTCTGCTTTGTCCTGTGGGGTGACAATGAGTCAGAAGTGACTCACCGGCAGAGCTTTTGTTGTTTGGGATTTGGTGCTCCTTTAATGAAGCCTCAGCTTTAGGAAGGATGGTGGCTTCAGTGCCTATCCCCAGGATAGGGTCCCTTGGGCTCCTTTAAGTCGAAATATATGATGAATTCACTGTTGAAGAGTAAAAGATGCATATTTACATGTTGAAAAGTTCACTTGGAACTTTTCATAGGGAACTTCCACAGCCTCTCACCTGCAACAAGAACTGTTTTGTGTCGTTCTTTAAATGGGCAGTATTTCAGGAGCAGAATGGTCACAGCATTAAGGAGACAGCTGACTTATTGTGGGATATCCTTTATGCGAAGTCTAGCTCTTAGGTCACGCCTCTTTAACTTTGACCTATGGGGTATAATTTATGGAACAACAGAGAATTAGTCTGTTTTGTTGTTTTTTTTCCCCTTCATAATACTGGAAGCCATCTCTTATGCGCTCCTCTTGCCTTTACTTCTCAAATCTAATCAGTACCAGGTTTTCAAACCATTCCTCACATCTGATAGTTATAGACCAAGTACTGTGTTCTGAATTCAATACAGGTTTTTATGTACTCCTGCAAGTACGGTGTTCAGTTGAACACAGTGTTCCAAATGTAGTCTGACTAGAACTGCGATATTTAAGCATCCTTTGATTTGATTTAAACACTGTTCTGGTGTTTTATGAAAAACTTGACAATGTTAGCTCTCATTCAAGTTATCTTCAACCAAACCTTTTTTTATTTCCCTCACAAGCCAGGGTACTGGCATCTGCCCAAGTCATTGCATTTTGGCACTTATTCTCTGAACCGTATATTGGTCTCACTATATTTTCATATTTGTTTCATCCACCAATTGAAGAAGTATTTGCATTCTGGATGCACAGAGAATAATGCTTTCGAGATTGGGGTTTGACATTCGTTGACAGGGAGACTTGCTTCCCTCAAAGGTTTCAGAAAGTTACTTTGTCAGACCACCAAATGGAATAATATATTCATATTTTCTATTGCTAGGATTTTTAAATGTATTTCCCAATTAAATTCTACTTATGTCAGTTTGTTGTTATGTTTTTAAATAATCATCTAATTCCACCTATTATTTGTATGTATTTCTCTTAGAGTTTCATAAAAAAATTTTACTTTAAAAGTCTGTGGAAATTGTTTAAAAGTTTTCAATCACTCTTGAACTTTTTTAAAAGCCAAGATTGTATCTTGCTCTGAGAAAACCTGGTATATAAGAATATATAAGAATATAAATGCAAAAAATGGATAGAAATACTCCTGAGTCTCTTCTTCCTTACGTACTTGTATCGTCTTAGTATTTTCTTGGTCTGTCTTGGTGCTGCCGTCTGAGAATGTTCATTTCCTCTCTGTCCCACCGGCCTCATGGCTCTGCATACTGTCTCTGTGCTCTTGACTCTCAGCATTGACCTCTTCCCTGACCTCGCGCTCTGTCTCCTCAGAATGAATATCAATATAGCCTTTAGACTTAACATGTGAGCAGAATACTTGATTCTTGTTCCACACCCCTAAATTAAGCCCGATTCTGACCAGGACCTGGGTCTCCTAGTCCTTCCCATCTTAGTAAAAGGAATTGCCTTCCACTAGTCACTCAGGCTAAAATCTTTGGTCTCTCATAAATCCTCTTGGTAAACCCTATTGATCAATCAAATTCTGAGCAATAGTTCCTGAATTTGACTGCATCTCAAAGTGTGACTACATCTCTAGCAGCTACCACACCTTCATTACTCGAAGCCCCCACGGGCTGTGTGGATTGCTACTGAGTTCCCTGAGGAGTCCTGCTTCTCTAGCGCTCTGCCATCTCTTCCACAATGAAGCTAGAGCGAACTGTCCACAACACAGGTTAGATTATGTCCCTGGCTCTATCCAGAACCCTACACGAGCTTCCTTATCTGCATAGAATAAAATCTGTAGTCAGTAACCACGGTCCCATCATGTTAGTGGGCCCTTCATGATTCCACCTCTGCCTCTCCTGACTGGTCTCTTTCTCCTGCTCCTCGCGCTCACTTCCGTCCAGGCTTCAGGATGCTCCTTCGTGCCCTTTTCTCCATGTATGCTGTGCTCCCTCCTCACTCCATCCAGATATGTGCTCACTTGTCTGTTCTCAGAAAATCCTTCTTAAGAATGAGACAGAGTTTAAATGAATTGACTTTTTAAGTTGATGTCATGTTACATATTCTAATAATATTTTAATTTATTTTCCAACAGAGAAAAGACGAGACCCCCCAAATGGTAAGCACTTTGATAGTTATTGGTCAAAAGATTATAGATTACTACTTAATCCTTATGGAGACATGTAGTATACACTAATAGCTATTATTATGATCAAATATACTTTGATTCTAACTTACTGTGTTCTTATTTTAAAATAGTGATGACAGGGAAGACTTAGGAAATAGACACTGTTCTTTGGCTTCTTCCTAGGAGGAAGGAATACATGGTGGGCGGGTAGATTAGTGAGATCTTAATTCTGTATTGACAATTGACTGAGTTTAGAATCTCTAGAATTTTGTCTTCAATGTGTTCCTTAGAGGGAGGCAATCTTTTTCTAGCATACTTATTTACTCCATTAAGATTTTTCCTTTTTTCCTTATTTCCAGATAGTAAGTATTTCATACTGGTGATAGGAAACCTAGCCCCTATTCAGTATGAATATTACTGCAGTGATTTCTTTTGAACTAACATTAGCTGCAGCGAAGTGTGCACACACATGCGCTCATGCATGCATGCACACAAGCAATTATATAGCGCTGTTTATATAGTATATATATTTATACTTACATGGATTATATGCATATAAGGATTTAGGATATATATATATATATATAACTATAAATAAAATACCTCAGAAAACAAGCAAGATACTGAGATGCAAAGGAGAGTGTCCCGGGCTTTTAGGGCTGAAATTCTCTTCCTGGACTGGATGAACCCTCCCTGAAATTGTGTGCTAAAGTATACGTTCATACAGGCAGTCTCTGGTTACACACTGTACTTAACTGTGTCTTTAAGTCTTTCTGTGGAATTTTTAAGACAAGCCATAGCAGGTTCATATGATTGAGCCTGACTTTTGTGCAAGAAGAGTCTCAGAGCCTTTTTAATGATTTAAAAGATACACGTGCAGCAAGCGAAGGTGATTGTGATGAAGACTACGTTAGGGGCAGAGAACACATTTACGTAACAAACGCCAAGGAGGAGCTGTGTAAATCAGAAGTGACTAGCCCTGGGTCTGACTGTGCATTCACTTTTGGATTAGAATATCAGCAGTTCTCAACCTGTGGATCGTGACCCCTTTTGGGGTCGAACGACCCTTTCACAGGGGTCGCCTGATTCATAACAGTAGCAAAATTACAGTTATGAAGTAGCAACAAAAAACGATTTTATGGTTGGGGGCATCACCACCACATGAGGAACTGCTGGAGGAAAGGGTGGTGCCATTAGGAAGGTTGAGAATCGCTGATGACTTTGTTGTTGCCCCTTGGCTGTCAAGTCTTTCTGACACTCGTGGAGGGAGGCCCACCCGGTGGTGTGTGTTCAGAGCAGAGTTGTGCTCTGTTGAAAGTAGAGCAGCAGACCTTTCTTTCAAGGTGCTCCTGGGTGGGATCCACCCTCCAGTCTTTGGTTAGCAGCTGAGCCCCTTGGTGTCACTAGGGGCTGTTTGTTTTTAACAGATTGGGGGACTTAATCCACATAGCACACAATTCAGTAGTTCAAGCATATCAAGAAGAGTTTTACAATCATTACCACAATCAATTTTACTACATTTTTGTTTTAAACCGCCCCCCCCCCCATGGTTAATAGTAGTTCAGTAGTGCTTATCTTGTGCCAAGCAATATATATACTTTGGCTTTCTCTTTTAAATTCAAGTATTCTTATTAATACCTGGTTATAAAATGGGGCTCTGTGGGGATTTAACAAGGTCATCAAAGTGCTTATCATAGTGCTAGTCCTGAGTAGGTAATAATTCTTAGTTATTGTGATAAAGATGATGCAGAAATAGTAATAGCAGCTACTGCTTAATGATCACCAATACTGGCAGCTACCTTATGCAGCAACTCCTGGAGTCCCCACCCTCACCGGGATGTGTAAACTGGGGCACACAGAAAAATAATTTGCTCTCAAGTCAAATAACTAGTTTAAGTGGCCAAACAGGATTCTGCTGCATGTGATCTGATGCCAGGGACTGACCCTTAACCATTGTGAGGGTTACCCTGCTAGTAAAGGTCTGGAGGTACGACTACTGAGTCACAAATCACTCATCTGGTAACTCTCAACACATTGAAAGTTTTTTTGTTTTTCTTGATGTGCCCAATAGGGTAGCCTCTTGTTTTTGAGTTGATTATTTTATATTCTGTGAATGTCTGTTGAGGATTACCAACCAGTATGGATTCCTAGTTGAGATGCCTAAAGTTTTGGGAGAAAGTAACGAGATTTTTTTTCAACTAAGGATAGAAATGCTGTCTGGAGCTTTTGGTATTTTAATCTTTTGAGAACATTTATAAAATGCATTTCTGTAAAAGGTTCCTCCTTTCCTTGATTAGATACAATGAGCATTCTTTCTGGATGGTATGTCCTATGATCTTAGTACCTCCGGCAAGAGGGGTACTCTTGGTGGCTGCATGCGGTGATTATGAAAGTTGTTCATTAAAGAGTTAAAGAAAATACACCCTAACTCACTGCTGAGTCTAGTCTGACTCACAGTGACCCTATAGGACAGAGTAGAACTGCCCCTGTGGGTTTCTAAACTACTTCTGAAGAGTGTCTAGCACTCTTGACAAGAGTAGAAAAACAAAATTATATAGCCCGTGTCACCAATATTTGTATACTTACTAATGTAAAGATCTATGTATGAAATTGTATTGACATATTGCATACACAATAAGGAATGCAATAGATAATTATAAGCAGATGGGTCAATTTATTTTCCTGCTTACTGGTAGATTGTCTTGCTCTCCCACATGTCACCAGTTTGGGAGGAGGCCAATGACTTTTCTGCACCACCACTAGGTGGCAATGATAGCTTACCCACATCACACAGTGTCCATACAGGTACTGCTTCAAATGCTTGTGTTAGGCTATTAACTTACCATCCTTCTCAAAATAGAGCGTTTTAGAAAGACACTTTGAAATCTTCTCCCAACCTTTTTTTATTTTTGGTTCCTTCAATTAAGTGTTTTGGAATACCCATTCTGCTCAAGACTATAGTTTGCTATGGTGAACACCGTTGAATGCCTCTGGATTATCAATAAAACACTAACACATGTCTTTTTGGCATTCTCTGCTTTCAGGCAAATCCATCTGACAGCATCAGTGATATATATATATATATATATAAAGTAACATCTGTCTAGTATCTGCATCTCATATAAACTTAGACAATTCTCAAAGTTATTGATTCAGTATTAAGTAATGGGCTGCTGGACTCTAGATGGAGAAAACTGATCAATAAAGAATATATGACCATATCTAAAGTTATCTAACTGTAATCTGTTAGTTTTCAGGCACCTTGTGCTTTGACCTTTGTAAAGGTTTGAGTAGTTAACACAAAGGATGTGCTGTAGTAGACCAGGAAGTAGGAGGCCTGAGTTCTTTGCCTCTGTCACTAATTGTGATGCATGGCAGCAGATTACTTGACTCTTCTGGTCTTTCATTTTCTTCATCTGTGAAATAGAATGGTGCCACATCTGAGTTAAGGCCAAGAAAAGATAGGGATCCTAGTTCACTAGAATATGAGTGGAGCTTTGATATGCCTTCCAGCTATCACTTACATGAAAGGGCTTCAAAACATTTGTGGACAAAAGCAATGAAAAAATAATGGACTTTTTCCATGACATTAAAAAAATCATTTTATTGGGGACTCATACAACTCATCACAATCCATCCATCCATTATGTCAAGCACATTTGTTTTCCATGACATTTTTGGAGGTTCTTGTATTTTGTTTCTGTCCTCTTTATCCTTGAGCAGTCTTTGAAAACAGTGTGTTATTTTCTCTAGTGAAGCTATTCATTGAGCTTACAAGATCCTTAACTTCCTTATTGACCAGAAAAGAATTCACGGGCTTGAATAATTTAAATTCCTAAACTTAATCCAGTTCTCTTACCAGGACCTTCTAATGAGATCCCCTTCAGAGCAGTTAGTTGTGATAGCTGGGTACCATCTAGTTCTTCTGGTCACAGGGTTGTGGAGACTGATACTTGCATTGTCCATTAGTCTATTGGGTTAATTGTTTTTATGTTTTTTAAAATTTTCATCTTCGTCCCTATGGACAGAGAGAGAATAGTAGTTGTACCTTGGATGGCCATTCCTGAGCTTTTATGACCTTGGTTGCTACTTGCCATAGTAGGATGTAGAAGGTTGTCTATGTGAATCATGTTATGCTAGTTGACTTTGGTGTGAACCCCAAGCCCAGTGACTCAATTCTCTCAATGTGTTTGGTTAGATCTAAAAAGCTTCCATAGCTCGCACCCTTTGTGCTCTAGTGTATTCATTGATAGATTTGCAGTAGAGGTAAATACCCATGTGCAAATGCCCTATGTCAGACCTGTATATGTTCTTGAGTGTACTCCCGCTCTCCCTACTTTTCAGTCCAGGTATCTGTCTACGAACCTGCTTGCAGATCACTGTGACTGCAGGGGCATGTATATTATAGTATTTTTCTCTGCTATTCCATTGAAGTGACATTTTGCTGTTGTAATGTTAGCTATATTTCATGTTTAATTAACTAGCGTTGGGAGCACTGGTGTGTATATGAATTACCTAAGTAGCTAAGTATTTTTCTTGAAAATAAATAGGGTGAATTTGTCAGGGAAGCTGAGTAGATGCTATATTTCTCATAGTCTCTCTGTATGTGTGCTGATGGAAAAAAGACTACTGGACTTAACTTGGGTACTTTCAGGGGGGTGTGGGGAATGGTTCTAGTAATTTTGAAAGTACTTTTTCCCTCATTTTGGATGAATAAAATTTAAACATTGAAGATAATATTCCTTTTGTTAAATTTTAAACAAAATAGGTTCTTCTCATACTTTGACTGTAATACATGCCACTTTTTTTTTCCTTTTTATACACCAAATGTCTGAACCTGCGGTTAATACATGCCACTTTTCAATGTTGGATATGAGTCTATTTTAAGAAAAAATTGAGAGGGCAAACCAATTGACTATTAAAGTCAGAATCCAAGACATCAGATCATTTTAAATTCTAGTTGAAAGTTCATACTCTACATTAAAATTTAGTTATAAAATAGAAGTTTGCATTGAAATAATGAATCCAGTATAATGTTTAAGGATATTATAAGTATCTGATGTTTAAGCTGTACTTTTTCCTTTACATGTAAATATCTAACATGTAGGCTTAAGGAAACATGTAAATAATTTGCAGTAATAAAGTAGTCCTACTTCAAAATTACATTATTTAAATTAGTGTTTATTATATGTAATTACCTTAAATGATAGTATTTTCTATTAATTTGCCTTTATTTTCAGGTCCTAATCTACCCATGGCAACAGTTGACATAAAAAATCCAGAAATTACAACAAATAGATTTTATGGCCCCCAAGTCAACAACATTTCTCACACCAAAGAGAAGAAGAAAGGAAAAACTAAAAAGAAGAGATTAACCAAAGCAGATATTGGAACGCCAAGCAATTTCCAGTAAGGCAATCCTTAACTATTGTCCTCGGTTTTGATTGATTCATTGCTGCTCTTGAGTTTTAGAAAAATTTAACTTTCCTTTTGGAAGGAACCTTCCATTCACAACTTGCATGCTTTTTGAGCTGTGGGTTTTTTCAGGAGTTTTTCTTTTTTAAGTAAGCACTCAGCAAACATTCTGTGCACTTTGGTTTTTTTAATTTTTCATTCACCAGAAAAGAAAAATGTTATTTCTTCAACTAAATATGAATAGAACCATGTTCCCTATATATAAAATTGGAAATAGTTTTCTACCCTTTAAAATGCTTATTTCCTCAGCCCATTATAAAACATCTATCCATGAATATGGTCTCCGTGTATTCTTATGCTTATCAGGACACATCAGGAAGGGAATGCTCAGAGAGCTTGTATCACATTTTTAAAGCTGAGTTAGTAGCAGAACCAAACCAGATTCTAGAGCATTGTGTTTCCGGCTCCTTGTGCATAGTTTTTTCCTCAGACTATGACTCTACCTGTGAGAACTGTAAAAATGTAAAGGACTGATTTGATTTCACATGTATCGTGTTTCTAATGCTCCCTATGTGTTTGTTTTTTCCGACATCTACTTTAGGCACATCGGACATGTTGGTTGGGATCCCAATACTGGCTTTGATGTGAGTATCTTTTCAAGCAGCCAATGTTTATTGTTCTAAATATGTGGTAATGTTATGGCTGATCTATAGGTTTTTGTTCCCATTCATTTTTGTCAGGTCTAGCATGTATTTGGATATTCTTCTTTATGTCTTGAAGGCCATGGTTTTTGGGTTGTCTATGTAGGTATGTCATTGGGCTTTGAAACCGTAGTTTGTTCTATTGTAAAAAGACAGTTCTGTGCCTGTAAAAAGACACCGTTTTTACAATATCTGGCGTTGTGTGTTGTTTAAATAAAATTCTGAAGAGAATAAAAAATTTGGTTATATACAACTTATGAGCAATATACATTAAATGACTAATTACTGTCGATAGTAGTCCAGTTTTTGAGTTACATAGATCTTTATTGTCTTGTTCTTTTTGGAAAGTTCTTAATCGATTTAACTTACAGCACTTTATAAGGTAAGTGAAACTGTTAGCAGAAATTACTGTTTTATCTGTTTTCATCATTTTATCTGTTTCATCTAAGTTCTGTGTGCTTCGCATTTGACAACTATGCAAGGTTTGTATAAGTCATTTTATAGAGCATTATTGTTTATGAGTGGGGTCATGAATGCTTTTGGTTTCTTCCATTAAAATTGTAATATCTGGTAAATCTGCAAGCATCTATTGAGTGCCTCTTGGACTTTGTATACAAAGTGGTGGGAATACAAGGAGTCTTTATCCTTTTATTTATTTATTTATTTTTGTGCATGTTTCTACCTGAACCTTACAGGAGTAGGACAAGGTGCAATAGGCAAGCCCTGGGGATGCCTGACTCTAGGATGAGTCAGTAAAATGTCTAAATGAAGTGCCCTTTTGAAGGGAGGGGATATAAGAGAAATGGGATAAAATAAATAAATGAACTCTACTATTTTTATGATAAAGTTAATTAGCATATAAGAAATGTGACTATATTCAAAGTTCATGAACTTAAAATGTCATAAAGAGCATGATTATATAAATGAGAATTAAATCTTACCATACCCATGTTTTAAAGATTATCATAAAAGTTGTCATTGACAATTATTTTCTTTGTTATAGCTGAATAATTTGGATCCAGAATTGAAAAACCTTTTTGATTTGTGTGGAATCTCAGAGGCACAACTCAAAGACAAAGAAACATCAAAAGTTATATATGACTTCATTGAAAAAACAGGAGGTGTTGAAGCTGTTAAAAATGAACTGCGAAGGCAAGGTAACTTAGTTCTGTTTCAGCATTCTGATTTCTCTTTTCATTGAACTCTGCCGTGGTCCTTACCATTATCAGCTACTGGACAGGTTCCTCTGAAGCCTTCCTTACACAGAGTATCTGAAGAAATAGTCTGGGCCAGGGTGGGCGGCTCACATTTTTTTATAACTAAGAAGTGTGACAAGGTTTGTTTATATTAAAAGTTTTATATTTGCCCCATGGCCATCTACATAAAATCTTCTATTTTACAATAAAAATTATAGTTGTCTATTTTATGTAATGAATCTTCAACTATTTGGGTTTGTAATTCCATTAAAATTATTTTCTGGATAATTCAGCAGTAGGAACTTAAATATAATCAGCCTAATCACATCCATTATAAGAGAACCCCCATGCTTAAAAGAACTCAGTTGCCAACCAGTGGGTTAGCCGTTCAAACCCATCAGCCCCTCCTCTAGAGACAGATATGACCTTTGATGTCTTAGGAAACCTTAGAAGCAGTTCTCTGTGCTTGCTAGGGTGACTGCGAGGTGTGGAAGGCAGTGGGTTTGGTTTTGGTTCCATCAGCATTAGAACAAGCCAGGGTTGCACCGGGATTAAGAACTCGGCTGCTAACTGAAAGGTCAACAGTCTGACGTCACCAGCTCCTGAGATAGACAGATGTGGCAGTCTTAAGGCAGTGGGTTTTTGTACAATATAGTAAGCAATTTCAGAAAATAAACAATGCATATTTTCATAGTGAAATGCAAACGTTTTCTCTTTGAAAAAGGGTAACTGGTATCTCTTGATACCTGAGAGCACAGAACATAACAACACTAATGCCTCGTTTCAAGCATTTTCAGTATGTCTTAATTATCACAATGAAAGGCCAGGTACGTTTTCTATCGGAGCAGTCCATATACTTGCCACTTGGTCCACCCCTTCCTTAACTTTTTTTTGCTTAAAATAGCACAGAAAAATGTCCATTTAAAGAATTTGACTGTTTTTTAAACTTCGGTGTTGACCTTACCTGTGTCTTCTATATTGCTTATTTTCATTTAGTATCTAATTGATCCATTGGTCCGTGTATTCAGTAAACATGACTATTTGAGCACCAGCACTGGACATTTAGATGAAGAAACATAAAGGTTTTTTGGCTTTCTTCTGAAAAACCTTACATGCAGACATATATAAACAAATATGTAAAGAACAAACAAAAAACCCTTCAAACCCACCATTGTTGAGTCTATTTGGATTCGTCGCAATCCTATAACATTTCTGAGGCTGTAAATCTGTACAGGAGTAGGCAGCCTCAACTTTCTCCCAAGGAGCAGCAAGTGGGTTTGAACCACTTACCTTGTAGTCAACAGTCCAGTGCTTACAGTACCACAAATATGAACATTTGAGGGAAGATGGAATTGAAAGACAATGGGATGTTTCTGGGAACATGTTTTGAAGCCCCCTGGTATATGATCATGATTTCTATTTTGGAAACACAGTGCTAGTTCCATTGAAACTAGCATGCTACTAATTTATCTGTTGGGAAAGAATTGCATGTCTAAATTCTATAGACTTAGAAAACAAAAAACATGTTTTCTACCTCACCATTGTTTTGAAATTCTCCCTAGTCAGTCCCTGTTGCTAGTTCTCAGCTGTGGGAGGTCCTGAAGATTCTCTGATGCCCCTTTCTCTCCTCCACTGATGTCCACTCATCTAGAGGGCCTGTGAGTCAGAACGGACTCTACAGCTAGGTGGTCACCGTTCACTTTGCACTGCCAAGGAGATCCAGAGTGTCTCTCTGACCTCTCAGGATTCACGAGTCTATACATTACTCATAACATTATTGGACCAGTGGCACTGCTTCCCTCTCACCTACATACAATTAAGAGGGGTTACCAACGAAACACCCGGAAAAGTTCCACTGGGCAGAGCTTTCGTAGTACACATTTTTCCCACTAGGCAAGCATCAAGCAACTCGCTCTGAGTTAGTGTACCCCCTGGTGTCGCTTGGGAAGGTTCTCTCTGGTCACAATGAATTTCTTCTAAAATGCGTATATAATGCAAGTAGATATTCAAATTTGGAAAAGAATGAATTAGAAATGTAGAAGTATGTGAAATTATTTTTAAAATATCCTTTGTAACTGATTTTGCAGAATGGTGTAATTGGGTTTGTAAAACAGTAACAGATTTCTCTTTCCAGAATCATCTTTTTCTGTGTCTGTTGAAAGTGTTTGATGCTCATTAACACTAACAATCTATTCTGTAGGTCCACCACAGTGGAGTGGTACGTATTCGGGATGCTGTTTGACCTAGTGCTGAAAAGGATGCATGTTGTGAAGTGTTGGTTTTCAAAGAGTCAGAATTCACATATCCTGACTCCAAATCTAACTTCCAAGGAGGGTTTTTGCCCTCTACACAAAGAATGTTTTGGTCACATTGATGTTAAAGGTTTCTTAAAATATGTATTTATTGCTATTTGTATTTACTAATCTACTATACTTTTAAGGAGCCGTAGCTGGCATTGGAGTGAGTAAGCATTGGACTGCTAACTACAATGTCAGCGGTTCAAATCCATCAGATGCTCTGAGGGAGAAAAATGAGGTTGTCAGTTTAGGTAAAGAGCCGTAGCTGGCATTGGAGTGAGTAAGCATTGGACTGCTAACTACAAGGTCAGCGGTTCAAATCCATCAGATGCTCTGAGGGAGAAAAATGAGGTTGTCAGTTTAGGTAAAGAGTTAGGAGTCCCAGACTACCTCTAGGAATCGACTTGATGGCAGTTAGGCTTACTTTTAGTGGTAGACATTCATAGTTGGCATTATTTATCCAGTATATTTATGTATCCAGTATATTTACATTTTTCCATCAATTAGGGGCATGCCAAAGGGGCTAGACAGAAGTGAGCCCATACTTCTGCAAACACCTATTCAGGGAGCTGTCAGCATTCCCATTTGTGTTAGGTCACACTTCTCTACATGCTTAGACTCCAAAATACTTGATAACAGTGCTTCCTAAATTCTGCAGTATTACATATCCATAAGGTAGTTTATATTTGTATTATTTTATACTCTGTTTATAATTCCTATTAATATCACGAGAGTATCTACCATTTACTTTTAATATTAATCAGCGATAATTCTTATTTTTAAATATGTCAACTTTTTAATAGGATTCTGCCAAGGTTTTATCTCTAAACCTCAGTCATCCTATTTAACTAAACTTTGATAGCAAAAGCAGTTTTTAAGTGTTGTACTTTTTTTGTGTGTACTCTCTTTTAAAAAGCTAAGAAACCCCATTTTCATTGATTCGGGTGACTCTTATTTAAGAGTTTTTAACATCTCTTACTCTTAAGGCTTTCTCGTTATGGTGTGTGGTGCCTGCTTAGTAAGCATCCTGTGCATGCCAACCTAACTTAGTGCCATGTGTTCCCTCCTTTCCGGTTTAATTCCTGCACAGTTTTACCTTAGGATAAGGCATGCCTCCTGCTGGGCTGCTTCCTTTCTGTGCAGGCATGTTACAAATTATAAAAAGTACAGTTGTTCATCGGTTTCCTTCAAGAAAATGGAAAGTTTCCAGAGTCATTTTAAAAGGTGGTGGAAGTATCCTTTCTGTGCAGGCATGTTATAAATTATAAAAAGTACAGTTGTTCATCGGTTTCCTTCAAGAAAATAGGGGAAAGTTTCCAGAGTCACTTTTCAAGGTGGTAGAAGTACAGGACTCAGGATGGATACAGCTGAAAATATACTCCCTATAAAATAAACCTCTTCCTTACTCTGGTCACTGCTTAGTATTTATTTGAGAAGGTGTTAGCTGGGTTCCAGGTCCGAGATCACAGAGATATAATTCTCTTCTATTGAGGAAATAATACCAAAAGTTTATGATACGAAAGTCCTTGGTGGAGCCAGCAGAGATGACTTTTGAGTGGTATTTTTTCAAAAGAACATGCCCACCTATAGAACACAAGGCATAGAGCACTGCAGATAATAGTGCAGGGGATGGGAGTGGGGGCTGACATGGTTGGCAAATGCCCATATATAATAATACATGTGCAATTTTTTTTTAATGCGGCAAATCTGTGTATAAAAGGATGAGACTTTCCTTGTTGAATAATGGTCAGATTATGAAAATACAAATACACACTAGTGTAATTTTTGTTCATGGTGTAAACCCAAATTTTGGTGGCTCCTTGAAGGCCTTGAACCACTGCTCTATTAAGAGTATGCATAATACACACACCGTATCCGCTCTCCTTTTCAAAGGTTCTCTGCTTTGGATTCAGTGAAAAAATGGAAAGATCCTTGGCTGCAGCTTGCAGACCCCCAGTACAACTGCTGTATAAATAGTGGGGACCCTCTTAGCCTGGTTCTAAAAAGGGTGAATGCTCTTGGGTGTTGTGGGTTTTTTTTTTATGTCAGGAGGCAGTTCCCATGTAAAAATGGGCTTTGCGTGCTTCATTTCATGTTCATGGTTATTGCACGTAATGGCACATTGTTAAAGCTTCATTCCCCCTATTGTCTCAAATGAAATGGGAAAGATATCCTTTGATTCTCTTGAAGTTACTCTGCATTGCATTTTCTAACATCTAGACCTGTTGTTATTTAAGGTGAAAATTTACCGTTTAAAAAATAAATAAAAATGGGTTAAGAATATCCACCAATATCATGTGAGACTTTGTGTCAGATATAAACAGTGGTTCCAGCTTCTGGGATTTCTGTCTCCATTTTCATAGTTGTAGCTACAAGAATGTGAACATCATTACTAGCAGAATAATGGTACTGTTTCATTGGTAACTTCAGATTAATTTTTGTTGTAGAGGAATCCTCAGTTCGTATCTCCTGAGTGCCTGATTGAGCATGTCGCCTGAGCAGCCAGTGCTCCCACTGGTCATGACTCAAGTGGCTTTCTTTTAGACGTGTGGGACATTACATCACAGAAAACCCTCCAAAGCCGGAAAGCTGCCAGAGAGTGGTAGAAACGGGGCTAAGATTGCATCCTGTCAAAAGGGCAAAACTTGTGAGAGCCGAAGTGCCAGCTGGAAAATCAAGTGCCGACCACCCCCCCCCTTCTCTTCTTTCACAGGTTTCCTTTGTAAAAGCACACATAAATGTAAGCTGGGTGGTTGTTTGTATTTTAAAATAACATTGTATTTTTTAGCTCATTAATGGCTATGAATTCTAATGGGTTATGTTATTGTAGTACTTTAATTCTGAAGGTGAAAAGGTACTAATATTTTTGGAGAAGTATTCTAGCAGAAAACTCATGCCATCGAGTCCCTTTCTAATTCAGTAGCAACCCTGTCAGTTTCTGAGACTAACTCTTAACAAGAGTAGAAAGCCTTGTCTTTCTTTTGTGGAATGGCTGGTGGGTTTTGAACTGCTGACCTTGAGGTTAACAGACCAACCTCTAACCACTGAGGCTCCCCTAATTCTTCAACATAAAATCCAACAATCTCAGTTGCTGTTTTGAGAAGCAACAGGGCAACAGTCTTAAAGCGGAGAAATTCCAAATAAAATATCTCCTCTCGTTATCTCGGCGAAATAAAATAGAAAGAGGGCAGCACTTCCCCACCCCTCTTCTTTTGTTCCTATGCATGGGGGAGTGAATTGTTGTTCCCCTGTGATGTTTGTTTAGGGTAGTGGTTCTCAACCTTCCTGATGCCAGGGCCCTTTAATACAGTTCCTCATGTTGTGGTGATGTTGCTACTTCATAACTAATTTTGCTACTATTAGGAGTTGTAAATATCTGATATGCAAGATGTATTTTCATGGTTACAAATTGAACATAAAGCATAGTGATGAATCACAAAAGCATATATAATTGCATATTATGAAATATTTATTTCTAATGACAAATCAGTGAAATTTTGTGTTGTAGCATGGGTAACAACAGTCTTCACACCGGGTACTCTTAGGTGGGCGGACCCGCCTGGAGACGGATCGTCTCCCTTCCTAAGACCATCGGAAATAGGTGTTGAGAACCGCTGGTTTAGGAGAAAAGTTTACATCCCTTTTTTTCTGTTTGTGTTTCAGCACCCCCACCGCCCCCACCATCGAGGGGTGGGCCTCCGCCTCCTCCGCCCCCTCCGCATAGCTCAGGCCCTCCGCCGCCTCCTGCCAGGGGCCGCGGGGCTCCCCCGCCACCGCCTTCCAGAGCACCCTCTGCAGCACCTCCCCCACCGCCTCCTTCCAGGCCAGGGGTGGGAGTCCCTCCGCCGCCACCGAATCGGATGTACCCGCCTCTGCCGCCAGCCCTTCCCTCCTCCGCACCTGCAGGGCCGCCCCCTCCGCCCCCTCCCCCGCCGCCTCCCCCGCTGTTGGCCGGATCCGTGGCTCCGCCTCCGCCCCCACCCCCGCCGCCTCCCCCAGGGCCACCGCCCCCGCCTGGTCTCCCTGCTGATGGCAGTGACCAGTCACTGCCTGCAGGAAGCAACGCAGCGCTTTTGGATCAAATTAGAGAGGGTGCGCAGCTAAAAAGAGTAGAACAGAACAGTCGGCCAGTGTCCTGCTCAGGACGGGACGCGCTGCTTGACCAGATACGACAGGGAATCCAACTGAAATCTGTGAGTAACCGTTTTTCCCCCCATTTTCATCTAACAGCCTTTTAAAGTAATCTGTGTGAAATCTTGGAAGAAGCTTCTTTTTTCACTTTTTCCCCCGCCATTAATTTTTCGACCTTACTGTTTGTCATTAGGTTAAATCCACAAATTTTGTTTAGTTTTGACAGATTACTATACCATGTAACCAGGTGTTCTAAATCACTTGTACATTAAAACCAGCCATAAATAAAATGTAGAAAAAATGGGCATGATCATGTTGTAATACAATTCTATGATGGACACTGAAGTGTGAATATCCATGTCATTTCCACATGTCACAATTACAATTGTTTTTCCTATCTCTATATGAAATATTCTTAGCCATCTGGTCATACATAGAATTTGCTGTGGGCCAACCTTGTCCAAAAGCCGACCTTCACAACCTTCTTAGCTCCAAGCAGAACATTTGTTCTTTAGACCCTGCAGGCAGGTAAATAGATGGTAGCTCTTTGTTTGAAATGACTGGAGGTGAATAAAGGAGAATGCAGTTGAAAATGATTTTGCAGTGTAGGGAATTATTGTAGCCATTTCTGTTTGCAAAGGTTTGGCTGTGAAAGGTAGGATTTAATAAAAGCATTTTTAACAGTAACATAGCACAGATTTCTGTTAAATCATACGTAATCTTTCTTTGAGGTCTATTGATAGCATCAATCACATCTGCCTGCTCATCCAGTTTACTCAGGCACCAGGTTGCTTGGAAGCAGGCAAGCAGCTGTGAACAGTGGCTCGGGGAGAATTCCTGTCAGTGACCACAGCCACGGGATGTGATGAATCGGTGTGACATAAAGCACTGATAATTAAACAGCTAGCAGGAGGCACTGAAGTGTCCACTTCCATGTAGTTCGAGTTTCTAGTACTTCCAATAGCATCACGTGCAAGTAAGAACTTTAAAAAGTCTCCTAGGATGATAATTGCTGCTCACTGTTATTAGATTGCTTGACTGTTGTCTCAGTGTTTCCCTTGCTGCTGTTACACTTCTGACGTCACCGCATGCCAAAGTCCAAAACGACTTCTGTCTGCCTTTTCTCTTCAGTAATAGAGAATACCTGGAGGTGCAGTGTGGTCAATTCTGGCTCATCTACAACTCAAAAAAAACCCCTTAGTCCTAGTCCATGAGTCTCTATCTTGTGGGGAGTTACTTTGAATATTTTGAAAAGGAAAAAAGTGTCCAGCCCAAACAAGGGATACTGGTGAGGGAAAGGTGTGTAAATACCAAAAAGAATTTATTTGCCCTAATAAATTTTCTATATGAGGTGCTTTGGAGTTTTTATATTAATCAGTCAGTTAATTAAACATGTCTTCCTTTCCATGAGGATTGCTTCTAAGACACTTCAAGGACACCCAAATATACTCCACGCCTCCCATAAAATAGCATGTACACGGGGTAATTCCAAAACCCAGAATTGCGCTGGGCGGAGCTTTTGTCGCACGCCGTTTTCCCTCTGGGTGATCTTTGAGCAACTCGGCGCTGAGTCAGTGCCCCTAGTGGTGTTGACAGAGAAGGTTCTCTGTGGTCACAATGAGTTTTTTCATAAAAGCACTTTCGATGGAACCTCGTTTTTTCTGATGGCTGATTTAAGAGAACAACGCGCAGCTGTGAAATTTGTTTCCTGCCCGGGGAAATATGCTTCAGAAAGTGTTGTGATGAACATAGCTTACTAGGTTAGCACTATGGAAAAACTCAAGGGCGTGCGTTTTTTTCTCATTTCAAAAAAGGTGGAATATTGATTGATGTCATACCTCATTCTGGATGTCTATCAACTTAGCGAAGACAAAAATGTCGACTCATGGTACATTTGGAGTCTGTTCCACAAAGTCAGACTGTTAATCAAGCTTTTTATTTCGAGGTTCTGAAAAGATTCCATAGCCGTGTGCCACAAAAAAGGCCTGATTTGTGGCAGACGGAGGACTGGTTTTGCCACCACAACAATGCACCTGCTCACGCAGACATCTCAGTGCGCCAGTTTTGGGCAAAAACCATCATGCCTCTCTTTCCTCAAACAATTCTTACCTGACCACACTCCGTGCGACATCTTTTTGTCTCATCGAATGAAGAGGGACATGAAAGGACAGTGAGTTGATGGCATAGAAGAAGTGAAGGAAAGAATGAGGGAGGTGCTGTCAGCCATCCAAACAGATGAGTTTGAAAAACGTTTCCAAGAATGGAATCGCATATTTGACAAATGTATTAAGTATAAGGGAGGTACTTTGAAAGTTATATGGTTGTTTTGTAAAAAAAAAAATTAAATACATAGCTTTGGGAAAACTGTTTTTTGGGTTGTTTTTTTTTCTTTTTAGGTACCCCTCATATACCTTGTGTTTCCTCTTGGATGCTGTAAATTATCTCTAGGTTACTGTATAATTTCTAATTCAATGTGAGCAATAAGTAAATAGTACTTTATTGTACACACCCTCTTAGCCTTTGAGGGATTGCTTTGACCATTTAATTGCCCCCTGCCCACCCAGTGTTTTTTTATTTATGGTTGGTTGAATCTAATTGTGCAGAACCTGCAGATACGGAGGGTGACTGTGTATTTAAAAACTAAAATTATTTAGTGTAACTTTCAGTAGCATCCTTAACTATACCACAGTATACCTTTTACATGAACAACTAAGTCCAAAGACAAGATTAATATATATGTATTTTAGTCTGCAATTTAAAGCAGTACTTTCTAAATTCTCATGTACTTGGTGTTTTGTTTTAATATGAGTATTAGAATAGAGATAATTGGTATAGACTGTCATTCTCATTGTGGGGAAAAGATGTGGCTTTTTGCTCCCATAGAAATTTACAGCCTTGGAAGCCCACAGGGACAGCTGAACTGTGTCGTAGAGGGTGGTCAGAATGGACTCGACAGCAGGGGGCAGCATTCTCATAAGTCTTGATCTGATGAGAACCCTAATAAATACTGTCCCACCCCACCCCCTCTCCTAAATGGAGCCTTGGTGGTGTAGGGTTATGCTTTGGGCTGTGATTGGCATGGTCGGCACTCAGAAGCACCAGTAGCTCCACGAGAGAAAGAGTGGCCTTTTAAAAAGACCCGGAAACCATTAGTTCAGAGACCCACAGGACCACTTTGTGAGTCAACCTTGTGACTCTGATGGCGAGGAAAGAGCAGGAGGGAGGAGGAGAAAATGTACTTTGTGGGAGATAGTGCTTTGCTATAAAGGTTGTTAGTTCACAACATAGCTGTGTTTTGTAAGCTGTTCAGGAGTTTGCTTGGCCTCAAACGGCTGCCTTACCCAGACTCCTGCTTCCAAGGGTTCATTGTACCACAGCAGGGTGCTTTAGGAAGTTTTGAAATTCCCTCCATATACAATGTTAGTGAAGTCGAATTTTTTCTAGAAATCTCTTCTATTACTCTTGGATATCTTAAGTATGCCTCCTATCTAACGACTAATTTAAGTATCATCCCTGTGTAAAATGATGTCTCTTGATAGTAGTTTCTTCACCTAAGACTGTATTGGAATGAATCAGAAGTACCCCAGATGTAAAAGCTAGTATTTTGTTTGGACAGAATGATATCTAAAATAGGATCAGACATTTGAAACTACCCTGAAGGTTTATTCATTAAGGAGAGGGAATGTCTCTTGAATAATTCTTTTAAGGCAGTAGTCTGTTTCGTTTTAATTTGATTGATTTTTGTGCTCGGCTTTCTTCCTAAGTCTTTCTTTTAAATAAGAAGTGATGCTAAGAAAGTAAAATTCCCATTGACAAATAATCCGTTTTAAGGATCCTTTTCTAAGCAAACATCATTAACTTTGTTTTCCCAGGTATCTGACGGCCAAGAGTCCACAGCGCCGACACCTGCACCCACTTCAGGAATTGTGTGTGCATTAATGGAAGTGATGCAGAAAAGGAGCAAAGCCATTCATTCTTCAGGTATATTTCCATGTCTGTCTGTGTATTCTGACAGGTTTGAATGTGTAACCCCATTTTATCTTATCACTCAGCCTGCGCTAGCTTCTTCTTTGCTGTTTGAGCGACTGAAAGAGGCTGACTTACAGAAACCAAGGATTCTGGCTCCTAGTCTAAAATTTGTTATCTCACTGTCTGGACCTATTTCATTAGATTCATCTTAAAACTCTCCAAGGACCTCTAGAATCAAATGGTTTAAAATTCAGGCGTTAGATAATGGAAGAAGTCACCCAAGAATAATGTAGTATAATTTTGTGTGTTTGTGTGTGTCTTAATTGTTCATTTTAGTCATTTTTCCCCCCAGATGAAGATGAGGATGAAGACGATGATGAAGATTTTGAGGATGATGATGAGTGGGAAGACTGATCAATATATGTTATATATAAATATATTTTTAAGGTGAAATACTAAACACTACTTTCTGTCTATGGATTCTGTAAAATTATCATGTAAATGTTCTACCAATTTGCTGTATATTTTTGTTGCCTTTTTGCTTTTTTTTAATTAATCTGTGCAATACCTCATTTAGTCTGTCAAGGTTTGTCATATCCTCGACAAAGCTACTCCCTGTTACTGTGTGCAGGTGTACACCAGAATGCCCACTGTGTTTGTGAATATTGCTCATTCCATCAGCAAGGGAGTTTAAAGATTATATGTGAGACTGACAAAAACCTTAATGTAATTTACTTATAATGCCAGAAGGAAAACACTATTTTCATACCCTACTTTTTCTGTACCTAAATTTTCTTATTAAAATCTAGTATAGCACTGCATTCTTTTTTAAGTGATGCAAACCTTAGTTTCTTTAGCCCCTTCATTTTGAACACAACGCTACATGAATGTTGAAGCCAACACATTGCACAGTTCCTCAGACATCACCACACTGATGCCATTTCTCAGACATTAGCAACATGCTCCACAGAGCTACCTACGTAAAGGTTGGTGGGAAAAGCCAGCCACCACCTGGCCTGCCCGCAGCGCTGCCAGTGGCCGTGACAGTGGCACCGGGAGGTTGGAATGGCCAGGAGTGCTTGACCGAGGCTATTTTTTATGCTGTACTAAATGCTGCAGGCTCTTTTGGCAAAATGGTTTTTAAGATATTTTTGAGCATTTTATTTCGCAACCAAAGTGATATTCAGTCATCAGAATATGGGGAGAGCATCATTCTACACAAGCTGAAGGGCTATCTCTTCTGTGGTTGTTCCATCATTCAGTTAAAAATACTACAAATCTCAGGACATTCTAAAAATGTTGTGAAATCCGCTATTGGGTGTTTTGATCTCCACCCTCATTGGTTGGAATGTTCAGAAATGCCAGTCATAAAGGTCAAATCTAGAAAATTGCAAATGTTCTTCCTATAATGTTAAACCTAATATTCTGTTTTGGTAATTTCTCAAGGTTTTTGTCAAATGTCAGGTGAAGGGTTACGTTTTTCTTCAAATATTGGTGGTCCTAATGTCCAATGTCTTGGGACACTTAACCGAACGATAGATTTAAAAAAAATAAACATCTACAACCTACACATTTGTTACGCATACTAAATGGTGTGTAATACACTAATACGCGGCCTGCAGTGGTGGCCTCGTGTTTATAGCGCTGCCCTACCCACCTGCGTTTTCAGATGTGGGTAGAAAAGGATCTGGTTGAAATGCAGACATGGATATTTCTCACATTGAGTCATATGCAGAATGTAGTTCCAAATGTATTTCATTGCTATCCTTGCAATATCCAACTAAGCGTTTAAGCTGTCTAGAAATGTACCGACCAAAATCAAGTCTTGGCTTGATCTTGACAGGCTGGTCCTGCAAGATGTGGCTCAGATTTTAACCAGTTATCACATACTCTCTAGTGATGATGCATCTAGTTAGAATAAGAGATGATTTCAAAGGTTTTGTGGCTGAAAGCAGTAAGTGGTGCTGTAAAATAGTTAAGTTATTCAGAGAACCTTAACCTTCCTTGCAAGAGTAATTTAAGCACACAGAAACGACTATAGACTTTTTGTTTCTGCAAAAACAGCGCCCTCTGCTGCTAGAATCCTATGTCTGCTTCAGTTTATTTTTACTGTGACTTGCGCTCCAAGAGTCAGGTGTGGCAGAGGCTGGACAACTTGGTAACCAATAGAATTGGGAATTTGTGCAAATGGTCACTAGGACATTATAATTACTTTGAATATCATTTAAGCCTTTAAAACTTTTTTTTTAATTTTCTAGAAATGTAGTCAAAGTAATGCCAATTAAAACTCTCAACTTTTAGCCAAAGAATTCAGGAATTTCTACTAACATTGGTATGGTTAAATTTTACCAGGAACTCCGTTTCTTGGAGTTGAAAACACAGTTTTAAGCATATAAGACCACCTACCCTGCTGCCATTACATCAGATCAGACCCATAGTTAGTGGGATTTCCAACGTGTTATAGCAACCGACAAGCCCATCTTTGTCCTGGAGAGCAGCCTGGTGGGTTTGAAACACTGACCTTGGACTTAGCAGTCCACTGCTAACCTGACAGCACCTTCAGGGCTTCTAAGCACAGAAGAGGGGTATATTATTTGCCAAAGGGTCATCAAATTTCTTACCTTTTTTAAAGGAAAAAAATGTTGTACAAAGTCTAAATCACTGTTGGTTGAAACAGCAGCTGTGCTGTCCCGTCCAGGCATGGTGACGAGATCTGCTTTATACCAAGTGGGCTGCCCAGGCTGCATGTTTCTGGGCTGCCACCTCACCTCGCCCTGTGGCTGCACTCTGCTTAAACCCAGTCTAAAAGCGGCCCGCCATGTTTACTCCAGCTAAGTGGTTGTCCAGCAGCCTTCGCATTTAACAAACTAGCATGAGGCTTTCTCTATCTCAGCGCTACGTGATAGACAATTTCAGCTAGCCACAATTGTATGTATGAGATTCATAAAGACTTTCAATCATTCTTTTTTTTTCCATTTATCAACTGAAATTTCGTTTAGTATGTGAATTATTTCCCTCCCCTCCCCTTGAAATGTATAGTGAATAGGATGTTGCACTGGTGGCAATTCATCATGGAGCATAATAAAATTAATTTGACCCAAGTAGCATAAAGTAGTGTGTGTTTATTTGTTGATTGTTCAGACAGTAGAGATAAAGTTCTATAAACTGCCTGGTGAGGTGAAGCGGACCTGGCAGTAAATAATAACAAAGCTTTCAGGAGTTGCCTGCCCGCAGCGGTAGAATGTGCTGTTGAAGAAGCGTGGTGAGGCTGAGAGTATTGCCCTCTGACCCCATGGGATGCCGGACAGCTGCTCTGCAATACCCCCAGGCACTGCTTCACCCTTCAGAGCAGTCACATGGCGAGGTCACTGGGCTCGAGTGCACTTAACGGGGGAGCGAGACTGGAGTCTACCAACCATCTCGTTAAAGTCCTGCATAGCCATTCATGTGGGTAGGCCTTGAAGAGCTCCCACAAAAAACATCAAAGCAGGTGCTCTTTAAACAGGAAACGCAGCTTTTGATAATAGAAGTTTCTGTTCCCTTGACTGGCACACGTGGGTGTCTGAAGATTAAAACGAGTTATGAAATCCAGCATGTAGGATGCTACAAATACGCCTTTTGGAGCTCTGGCCAAGTTTAGCAAGCATTTCAAGAGTAATGACCAAAAAGTTGTTACAGTTACATGTGAACATTTAAGAATGCACTAACAAAACTTGTTGGTTTGGATTTTTTTTTTTTTTGAGAGAAAAATGTGGCTTAAAATTCTCCTTGTTGTTTCCTATTTATCTGTAGCCAATGGAGAAATTCCTGAAATGACTTGATTTTTTTTTTTTAGGAGTGACATTCCCAAAGGAATAGTCTATATTTAGTGCAGCCACAAACCTTTTATTGAGAAAATTAGGAAAATTTACCTTGCACATTTCTTTACTGACATTGTCATACCTAGCTTGAAATAAATGGCATTCTCTTGGTTTTGTATTCATGGATTTCTTTTAAAAACTCCTTTTTAGGGAAGCTACCTGGCTGAAAATCATAGTAAACTGGCTGTTGGGAAGATGACGGGAGGACTAATCCCTGACAGCTTTCTATGTGTTGAAATAAAGGGTCTCTGTTGCCTTGGGGAGCCTATGGAAAAGGGTGGCTGTAGAATGAAAGACCCTGGTGCAACTTCCACGACCATTTGTTGAATATACATATGTAGTTGCACTGAGAAAGCCTGCTGGTATAGTGGTTAAATGTTGGCCTACTAACCACAAGGTCAACAGTTCGAAGCCAGCAGCTGCTCCTCTAGGGAAAGATGAGGCTTTTCAGCTCCTAGAAAGCTTTAAAGTGGGCTTTACAGACACAGTTGTACCGTATCCTGTCCTGTAGGGTTGCTGTGAGTCAGAATTCACTCCAGGGTATGGAGCTTGCGTCTGGGTGTACTACATCAATGCCTGACCGAGTTAGCAATATATTTAATTTCACACACATCTAGTGTACATCACAACAGGGCAGGTGAAGATACAAATTGGAGCACAGATATTTTTAAGTAAGATATAAAAGATAGTGGCTCTATATGCAGTTAACTGTTTAGTCATGTGATTACATATTTTACTCTGGGGGAAATTACTAGGAAAATTTGAACTTTTGAGTAACTATAAACAACTTAGTAAAGTTTTTTGTTTTAATTTTTTTCTATTTGAGAGGAAGTTCAACAGGACAAATTTGCATTGTATAATTTAACCAAAAGAGACTTTGGGTATGATCGAAATTTACTTTTATATTAGTTACTGCTGGATTTGAGGATTTCATTAAGGTCTAATTTTAAGCAGTTCTTAGAAGCATGAAGGGAGCTAGCAAAATTGAAAGCACTGGTACCAACATACCCACCTTCAATCTCAAATACTCCTAGCACCACTGAAAAAGACTTCACGACCTCTTGAGTTGGTTCAGAAGAGACAAGGAGTTGTGGAGACCTTTGAACCTAGCCTTTCATTCCATAGGTGAGGGCACCCATACTCCGACTCGTTGGGAGGCTTGCTGGTGGTCAATTAGAACTCATAATAGAAGTCACATCTGACTTATTCCTTAGCATGCATTATATCTCTTAATTCTTGTCTTCTCTCTCAATCTTAGCTTTTTGTTTCTGATGGATTTACAGCTGTACATTTCTCTCTTCCCTATCAGCTGGGCCTTGATAGAAGTCAGCAGCCTCCTGTTCTTGTCTGCCCAGGGAAGCTGGCTGCCTTTGAGGAGCTGGTCTGACTCTGAAGCATGTGATACTGTTTTGGCTCAGTGATGGCCGTCACTCAGCATTGTACAAGCATGTGGTCATCAGGACATTTGTGACATTTAGTATGGGGTTGAAATGAAGGTGAACAGTTTCTTCTAAATTCACCTGTTTGATTCGTTTCTTATTTGTATAGATGGCCCTTAGCTTTACTAAACCCACGTATGTCATAAACCTTTACTACCAACTTGTCTGACAGAAAACTGAGAGTGGATTCATCTTTCTGTCTGATTTTCAGCCAACAGCTGTGGTGTCCATTGAAAGACCGGGAGTTCTTCCCAGGAGCACGGGGACAAACTGAGCACTTTAAACCCAGCTTCCTGGTTGTATTACTGGTGTGCGATGCAGGGTTCCACGTGGGTTGCCTGTACTTCACCCTAACTGGAAAAGAGGCAGGAAAATAAAACTTAGATGTAGGGCTTTGTAAGAAAATCATTGAAAAGAAGGGGCCTATGTCCAACCCCCTTAAATCAGTTTCTGAACCTAAAACCTTTTCCTTTTTTTAAATTCGGGTAGAAATCTCAGGAAACAACGGAAATGTGGAAAAGTAAAGAGGATTTGTGGTCCGACTTGTTTTTCCCCTTTGGAAAACTTGGAGAGCACAAAACCAAACCTATTGCTAGTGAGTTTTATCTCTAGTAGTTATGTGTAATTAAACTTCGACCTGTATCGGTACATTCAACTTTATGAAGGTTTTTGTTGTTCTTTTATAAAACCTTTCTAAACTTTGCTGTGGATATTTGTCCAAGGTGTGCCCTTGGGGTTAGCAGCCTAACTTGGAACCATGTCACCACCAGGGTGACTAAGGACCCCATTCTCAGGGGTTCTACTACTCTCCAGCCAACCAGTGAGCCTGCTCTCTGACCATTTTGATTTTTTTTTTCCTCCCACTCCATGCAGGACCTTCTATTGTGACCCCTTTCAGAGCAGTTCATTGTGGTAGCTGGCCACCATCTAGTTGTTCTGGTTTCAGGGCTTTGAAGGCTGATGTTTTTGTGGTCCATTGGGTGACTGGATTGTTTCTCTTCATCTTTGATTTTCATTGCTCACCAAAGTAGGATGTAGAACTGTCTTTGTAGACTGGTAAGTGACTTGGCCTTGGTGCCCCCACAGTCATGGTCCTTAGCCCCCAGGTCCAGTGACTAACTTTGCATCATATTCCTGAGTTTCCAAAACTTTTAAATGCCTTTTTTAAATGATTTGATGAAAATCCGCTTGAATTTAAGTGTTGTTATCCAAATGTCATATACTAAAGCAAAAATCAAAGTTGGAAGAAGGCATCAAAATGATATTATATATAATATATAAATATGTCAGATCAGAATAATAGAGGAAATTCATGTGCCATTGAGAATCAGACTCCTCCACCACCTACACCTCCTTATAGCACCTTAGCAGGGTTTTGTGGTTTTCAAAATCACCTCAACAAAGGAACTCAGTTGTGCTCATGAACAATTAGGGCAGGATGACGAAGAACTACACGGTGGTGAAGATGGAAATGAGGTCAAGAGAAGCCCTAACACACAATGGTAGAGATGCACTTGAACGCATGCCAGGGAAGCATTTGAGTCTCTTCCAAACCCATCAGAACAGGAGGCCTGCTCTAGGAGACCGCTGGGGCTACTTGGTGCTGCTGATGTGCTTGGGTCGTTGTGCAAAGGCATGAACATTTCTGCATACACATGTATATACAATGTATGTTAGTCTGGGTAACTTAGGGAAACAAATCCACAGAGACTCATGTATAAGAGAGTTTTATATAAAGGTTAAGTGCGCATCAAGAAAACATCCCAACCCAGTGCTGCCCAAGCCCATAAGTCCAACATTAACCCATATGTCCAACCCCAATTCACAAAGTCCTCCATCTCACAAAACAGATGAATAATACCGACTGCAGGAGTCAGTGAGTGTGTAAACATCTCAGCGCTGTTAGGGGTCTCCACACGACTGCTCCAGCACCCAGGACTGCATCAGGGTAGGTCCATGTGGCTTCTCCTCAGGGATGTCTTGCAGGAAGTGAGCCTTGCCAGCTGAAGCAGGGAACTGGCTAAGGCAGCTGCACCCTGGTCTGACCACCACAAAGCGAGAGACCTGAGAACTCGAAAGGCGAGGCTCACCGAGCCATTTATCCCTCTGACCTTCAATTAGCCCCACGTGTTTTACCGGCTAGGTTGGCACAATAAACTACCTACCTCACAATGAATGGCGCCACTGGCCTCTGGAAATGACAAACCTGGCCCGGTAGAGCAGGGAGAGGCAAGTAGTGTCACAAATTCTTCTGAGGCTGACTCCACTTAGATTGAGAAATAAGCTTATTCGCATCGGTCGTGCTTCTGAGGGTGGCTGCTGTCTGCCTGACTGCACTTAGCATGCTGTGAGAAAATTGAGGGAAACCAGAAGAGGATGAGGAAGAGGTTTATATTTTTATAAATTGATCAATTCATAGACTGGATTTCCAAGACGAGAAGTCTTAGTGGGAGCAGATCACCTCCTCTTACACAGTGTGGCTCCAGAAAGCAAAACTCCAAAACACTGCCGTCAGGTCGACATTGAGTCCAATTGACACCATAAGACCGAGGCCGCTGGGTTCCCAAGTAGTAAACCTGTTTGGAAGCAGAAAGCCTCTCCCTTTGTGCAGCTGGTGGGTTCTAACCTACTAAACCCATTGTTAGCAGCCCAGCATGTAGCCTACTCACTCTGCCATCAGGGACTTCTTAGCATGACCAGTGGGTTTAAACTGCTGACCTTGAGTTCTGGGGTGAAGGTTTAGGCTAGTTGGGAGATTTGGTTATTATGGCTGTTTTATAGAGGATTATTAATATTAAATCGTTG